CAAAAGCAAGAGAAGAACCAAGAACATGACGACCAAACATGTCATGACTCGGGATTCAGCCCACAGGTTTCCATCCAGCGTGAAAACACAAAAAAGTCCAAATTTATAATGAATTTTATCACATCTGTTTTACAAAAACTAAAAACATCAAAACCCAGAAAGCAACATTTTGGATTATGAACACCCCAAACTATTAAAAAGGTTCGTCGGTGGAACAGAATCCAAAGAATCAGTTCCAAATATTTCAGTTTCTATTTTAGAAAAACAAACTGGACGGACCGCCATGTTTGCAGGATGGGAGGGTGCGTCCTCTGATCATGAGCTTATCTGTTGCCGTGGGAAACTGATGCAGCCCATAATAATCTCCCTCCTGATCTGCAGGGAAACCGAAGGTGCAGATAAAGTCAGAATAAACGGCTCTGATGATGGAGCAGAAAAAGTTCTGTGGCCCATTTCTCTACCTGCTTCAGAACAGAACCGTGTAAATAAAAGTTCAACTCTTTACGGCCCGAGACCTTCTGCGGTGCGCTGACCACGCTCTGCAGGAACGTATTCACCCCGAAAACGTGGAAATGTGAATAAACTGAGATTAAACGCACAGTTAGAGATGCTAAATGCGATCACACTGCAGAGCACAGAACCAGTTTGAAACAGGTTCTGGTTCCCTGAATGGAGGAACGGGCAACGGCCTAAGAGGGGTAGAAAGAGTGTGTGTGTGTGTGTGTGTGTGTGTGTGTGTGTGTGTGTGGGAGTATTTGTGCTTTACGCAACCGTGAGGTGATGCTGTTTTAGAGGAATGTGGTGATTCAGCCGAAGAAGCATGTAGGAGGAACAAGAAACAGAGGTCCACAAGGTAAAGGAGGGAAGGAGGTATGTGAGGAGAGGAGGCGAGGATAGGAAGCCATGAAGGATGGACGGGGGGGCAAAGAAAGGAAAACAGGGATCAAGCAGGGAGTCTGTGTTTATAAATCCGTCTATCTGTCCAGATTAACACCCAGCCTCAGGGGGCTCTGATGGCCCGCTTCCTGTTCTCAGGTCGGCCAATAGGAGGCCGGCGTTCCAACCCTCCAGGACGGTGTGGTATCTGATAACAGTGTGTGTGTGGTGGGGGGGGGACGGAGCAACAAACAAGCTGCAGCTTTAAACCTGGAGGTGACAACCAGGATATGAACAGGATCAACAGCGCCCCCCTGAGGCAGCCATGCTTACTGCAGGCTGACTGAGGATGAGCTCCATATTAGGCTGGAACCAGCTGGAGGACCATGGTAGTATTTATAGACTGTTAGTGGGTACGGAGCGACCAGACGGTGCCGGGTCGGCCCGGTTCTGGAGACCTTCTCCTGCTTTCTGCTGCTTTTCAGTCAGATGTAAAATAGAAGAAGAAGAAGAAACAGGCTGTGTTCATCTGAGCCCTGCTGGGTTCATGATCATCCAACATAGAAAAACATAATCAGAGTCGATAAAGACAGGATTTCATTAATAGAAGGAACTAATGTTTCCACAAACAGCCACCCAGGCCTGACAAATGCTGGAGCTAAAGCAGAACCTGTCTAACTACATGAAGTAGGCTTATGGAAGCTGCAGGGACGCCCAGACAGAGGCTGACAGAGATGGCAAAAGTACTCACTTTCCGTACTT